TTAGGGAATAGCCTCTTATCCCACCAATTCCCCATGCCTTAGCCAGGGAAACGAAAGAGAAAAGGGGGAGTGAATTCCCCGAGTGCACAATCCAAGGACAAAATATAGAAAATGGATCTTTATCTTTGCTGTCGGCCAATATCCATATTAATTACAAAAAAACACACCGCATATGTACTGAATAAAATATAAAGGGATTTGTCAAACATATACAGCTACAAATTATGACCACCCGCTATAATTCCCCTTACTTATGTTAATTTTCTAATCAAACAAAAGTTGAATAATGTCTTTTTATCTTACATGGCTTTTGTTAACTTCACTGAACTGGCATCACACACACTACACCGTTTAACCTTTGCAAAGCAGGATGTGGAAGAACAACATCCTCCGTCATTTGCACATCACTTCACACTGTTTATTGCAATTACACTGATTATTCATAATAACATCTTCCCAAGCTTCCCATTGTAGTGGGCCAATCCAGGAGAGTGATTTATATCCGGTCGACCGTCTTGGGGGAAGGAAGTGAGATGTTTGGAGCGGTTCTGTGGTAACGTGCTCGCTCCCCCACTCGCACGGACAACCCCTCAGAGTTTGGCAAGTCTCCAGAGCCATGCAGGGGCGGCGGAGTACAGCGGGAGCCTGAGTGAGAAGCACACATTGTGCACCACGGGACCCCACCCGCCCCGGCCCGAAGGCACAACTCTCAAGGACATGGAGAACTGGGGCAGAGAACTTCCAGGCATCCCACTGGTAGGGCAGGCGGAGAAAAAAAGAGAAGGAAAGTTTCCAAAGTGTCTCTGTGTGAGCATAGCTGGTGAAATGTGTTGTTAGGAGAGATACATGGATTCTCTTGATCAGTAAACACTAATCATGTTAATGTTTCTTACACAAAAAAAACAGCTCTTAGGATTCCAATGACATTTAAATGCGGTGTACAAGTAAAATGAAACTCCAAAATTCATATTTAATCGAATTTGGTGTTAAAGCAAAGGGGTCAGGCCGGGGTCAAATGTCATACAGGTGGGTTGATGGTGGTTTGAATAAAGGAATACGAATCAAAAAGGTCTTTACTAAAACTATGTCAGTGCACGTAGATGCATATAACTGTGTTTGTGTTTTGATCTCTGTGTATCCAGTATCTGATCTCCTAGTCAAATATAATTACTGATTTCTCTGACACACAGCAAGTGATACATTTGAATCAATGGCTCGGATGGCCTCATAGTGTCCATGGAGGGAAGTGTAATTCAAGGTTTTGCAGACAAATGTTATCTAAAAATGGAAATTGCAGCTTACTTTTGTACTAAATCCTGCTACATAATACTTCAAACAAGATGGATATTTACTGTTTGCATTGTGATTTATAGGGAATGTGCATGGAAATCTCAAACTGAATAGTATGTATATTCTGTCTTTTGATATTTTGATATCAAATTGTGCAAAGGTCTTTGACATCGTTCGAGCATTTGAAGCAGCAGCTTTTCATTGTCCTTCCAGTCAGGAGCTTAGGTTTACTGTGGGTCAGCCCCCTCTCTCTCTACATCAGGGGGAAGGAACCACACTGATCTAAGATGGAGTACCCCCAACCAACCCTTACCACATCGACCCATGCCACCATCCTGGGCCTCTAATGGAAGTCCTGGGCATCCAGACACCTCCCCCGCTCCGACAAGGACGTCAAGTAGCGCACTACTCATCATTGGAAGCAGCAGGCCTCACAGCCCTCCTTTTCTCTCCCTGGGACTGGCTTTTTTGGAACATTGCAGGCAGATGTGTCCAGATGAGCACGTTCTAATTTGTCGGCCCAGGTTAATGCTCCACCAGAGGCCCCGGAGGATCAATAGCTTTATTTCCCTAAAACGCCAACATGGCGAGAACCAGCTCACGGGGTTCTTTTAATACCGCCACAGTTCCAGTGGTTACTGGGCTGTATTGATTGTGCCCATGTGGAACTACGTGCACCTTCTGGGGAAGGATCTATTTGTGTCACCCTGGGCTGGGATGGGGGCTCCACTGGAGGAGTGGAGAGCTCAGCCAATGGAGGATGCCAAAAACATCAAAACAGCCATGTTTACAGATTACCCAAAGGGAAAGCAAATTACAGCAATTATGCAGGCTGTGGGAATACTGATATCAGCATACCTGCTATTTCACTCAGAGACTACTTTTATGAGGCTAGAAGACATACAAAACATCACACTCAATTTGATTTGATGGCTAAACCCTTAACAAACGATGGGATTTAAACAAAGCATTGCACATCAGATGCATGCAAAACAATGTCTTTCTAGGGGATCACCCTGTTTGTATTGTCAGGTCCAAAAAATATTCTCAGTCGTTCAAAACTGGATATGATGGTTTACACAAATATCTGTGAGGGAAGTATGTATCTGGCAGGCATAATAATGAACGTGTAATATCGAACATCTCTATGTCTCTATACCTTAGTTTTTTTCTCTCCAAACAATGGCAATTAATCATTCTTTGTAAACACTGCAAATTGCTTTACAGAAAACTAATTTACCCCTGCAGCATTTATCTCATATATCAGCGCAGAGACAACATACAGAAGGGTCTTATCCAAATCACGGGCCTTTGTTTGCAGCTGTCGTGACATATTCATGACTGGGGCCATAATAGTCAGATTCCTGTTACATTCCCCGGGGAGAGCAGAGAGAATGGTGTCACATCCAATTACTGCGGCACACTGTAGAGGTAAATCAAAACTCATGCCATGAACTCTGGAATCTAAGGTGCACATACACACACATCGGCTGCATGAGCATAGCGAGACAACAGTTATATCAACATTGATAGAATATTGGAAAACACATCTCGTGGCAACTTGGAGGTCATGTATGGATTACACAGGAAAATGGGATTGGCTGGAGGCTCTTGGCTGCTGTCTTCTCAAAACATAAATTGACATGCATAAGATCTTGGAGCAAGTGAGGCAGACAGCATTTGCTGGAGATTTTACAATTATGGATTTGTTCACCAGTGTGCAGAAATTGAAATTGCAGATGAGGACCATGATTTGACCCTCATTGGAGGAGAAACAATGGGGTCACCAAGTTCACCCACACCTTCTCTTCAGCACCAATAAGAGGATTTTCTGCAGAGTTAAAATAATGTCTTTGTCTTTGTCCACAGTAGTCTTCTGGAGGCCTGGTGGTTTGGTGGTTGGAGGGTATCTCAGCAGTGCATAGCCCCGGTTCACCCTAGAGCGGTGCAAAGCTCCTGCCCAATAAAACAGGCTGCCTCCCCAGGGCCCCTCCCTCAAGCCTCCAGTCAGCGCTTGTTTTTGCACCATTTATTTAGTGTGACACATCTCCAATTAAACTGTGGAGGCTGCTGCATTCCCCCCATAACTACCTCTTATACCTCCCCATAGACTTTCTGTCACACTGAGAGTGTGGGTATGAGAGAGTGAAAGGGAGAGAGAGACATAGAGAAGAGAGAGACATAGAGAGAGAGAGAGAGAGAGAGAGAGAGAGAGAGAGAGAGAGAGATCACATCTTGCCTGCCAGCTATGATCACAATGTCATTTTCTTCTCAGTGGTTAGGAGCCTCCTCTGAAAGGTGCCCTGAATTATAATTATCAAAATATTGAACAAGATAATCATCCTCTCAAATGATGTAATGCAATGCTGTCCTGTATCTCTCCTAATAACTCATTTAGAAGAACACAGCCCAAGTCATGTTTTCTGTGCGGGACTACGCTAACGCTAATCATTTAGAGAAATTCTTGAGCAGAATTCCTCCTATACCTCACTTTTAGTTCTGTGTCCATCCATTTAAATTCATGAGCGTTTAAATGAGATCTTTCATAGGAGGTAAGAGTCTCCTTGCCACCTCTTCATCCTCCCCCAATGGCCTCAGACACAGTCACAGGAGGAGTGACTTTGTCCGACCCCAATACCGTCTGCGAGAGCGCAGCTGAGGGCAGCAGCTGCCAGGGAGGACTGGTGGGGGAGCGCCCAAAACGCCAGCTCTGCCAGGCAAAGGGGCCGGGGGGAGCCCCAGTGGCAGCTGGGAAGGGTGGGGCGGCCAGCTGTGGAGCAGCAGGATGGCGGGGTGATAGGAGATGCCACTAAACCTGACCAGGGATACACAAATGCACATATACATTTTATACGTAGGCATGCTCAAAAGGTTCACACTGCCCTTCTGCTGCAAGCACCTGCATCCCCACACACACACACACACACACACACACACACTCATCATCCGCACCAAGGCAACCCAAGCAGTCTGTGGCCCTCTTAACACCAACACCACTCTCCCATCATGTGCTTCGGCCACACATCTGGTGTACCATCTGTATCACTCCCCCCAATGTGACAGGTAGTCCCTCTCCCTCTCTGGAGGGAGCAGAGGGGGAAGGAGGGACACGGAAGGTAATTTTGGGTGTAAATGTGCTCTGGACCTCTCTGGATGCATCTGGACAAGGCAGACATGCTGCTGAGCGGTGCAGGGTCATTATCAGTAGGAAGCTGATTACCAGATACCAGATGAAGACATAACAATTATATCATACTGTCACATTATGACAGCACCAATAGTGCACATCTTTTTTATGTATGTTGTCGTCAGGATGAATGATTTAGCATTTCACAGTTAATCTCAATATAAGGTCAAATGCTATAAATAACAAGTCATGGTGTATTAAAGATTCTTCCAATTTATTGTAATGTACAGTTATACATTGCCATGACACAAATGTAACCACTTGGATGGGGTGCAGAATGCCAAATATTAAAACAGCCATATAAACAATATCGGAGGACAGTGAATTCCTCTTCTTCACACCGCTGTACAGATGGGATCAATAAAGTATGCACCATGAAACAGATATCAAGCCAGTGATATAAAACTGCACAACCAGTCTTTACTGTGAAACTAAGGAATCCATTTGAGAACATTATTTTCACATCTTATGTTACATATTTGACAGTAACAATCTCTATTATTCACACACAACACTATTTGAATGACATCAACTCAGACGTTTATTCAAAGGGAAAAGGGGATTCCAGCATTAGCAAGACTAACAAAACAAAATGTACTTACAGAAATATTTGTGGTGCTTTTATGAAGAGAAAAGGCTCAGAGAGAATGGACTTACAATTTGCAGTGGCATCTGCTACATTTCACCTATGAGGGCATGATAGTCAAATAAAGGCCTGTTGCATTTATTCTGTCAGGTATGAGGAACAAAGTAAAAATCTGTTCATGACCAACATTTGATATTGACTGTTTTCAGACTTAAATACACAGCTTAACACAGAATCCACCAAGTCCATGTGCTGCCAGATATTAAGCATTTTCGAATTCCAGGGATGATGTTTGTATTTTTCCTTCGCGGATTTTCTGTTCATGTCATTTAATGTTTCATTTTTACACAAATAATTCATACAGCGCACACGTCACTGACGCAGCAGATCCAATTGAATAGGAATACAACTCAACATAAAAAAACTAAATGTGCTGGATGGCATCATCATTAAAAAAACATTGACACATACACTTCATGAAATAAACAACACAGCTTTAGTACTAGTTCCCAATGTCTTATACAAAGTTAGCTTGATCTAAAAAGCATAAAATATATTTATACATCATCACATACATCAAGACACGTACCATGGCCTAGCGGGAAGTTCATCTGGTGCAATATTTCATCTTCAAGCCCCCACACACATTTCCCTACTGCTGGCATTATTGCTTCTTATAAACATCGAGCTAAAAGGATAGAGAAACAATGCACCACAGTAGATTGAAACTGTTCAATTGTCTCTGATATCGAAAATGTTGTCAGTCCGTTTCACAATCTGCAATGCTAAAGGATAAGGCAGTTCCATTTTTTTAAGGCATTGCTGCTGAGACATACTGGACCGGAGGGTGAATCGCGGACTTTGACATTATCAAGTCAATGTACATGATAAAAAGAATACATCTTATAGGCAAAGAGATGGGAAAACGTATCTTGTATTTTTGAGTGTTGTATGTTCATGTCAGAGAGAATCTCAGCGAGCTACAACCATCATTTGAGTCTGCTTTGCAGTTGACCAGAGGTCAAAGCTCAGACAGATCAGAGCAGAGCGGTGTGGGTTGCTGGGACCATCTCTCATTGCTGGTAATTTCCATACTGGCCCTGTGGAGAAAATGTGAAAGACTTGTGTTACTGGTCTATTAAAAAAACAGATATTAAAAGCTTATATTTAAAAATGTTCTCAAAAGGGTGCATCTGCTGGTTTTGACCAGCAGGTGGCAGCATGGACTCACAACTTTAGAGCTCTTAATTCTATGTTTACTTCAGGCTTCTGCAGCAACATGGCTGAGGACCCAGGATAGTCCCATTTAGAAAGTGGACACTTGTTTAAGTGAGACAGTGTAAGGGTAAGAGTAGTATCAGATGCATTCTTAAAACAGGGGTCGAAGTATGTGTTTGGCATTGATGGAAATGACAATGGACACCAATTTTGAAAACAAACTTATTTAAAAAAAGGCATTTATACAAAACATTTGAATTCCAATATGCATCATGTAATCCTAAGCACAGTCATCCTTAAAACCAGTGTTGTAGATAGCAGAGTTTAAGGACACAGCCAAAGCAGTAAGCTTTCCGCTGTCTCCCTGCAGACTAAGCATGCTGTGTTTCTGACCTCATAACTTACAATTCGACCCCTGGTTAATAACAAAAGAAAAAAGAAACTTAAAAAGAGGAAGATAGAATAAAGATAAAGACAAAAGAGGGATAGAAGAAACATAACAAATGCAAATTAAAAGCTAGGTGGTCAAACGTCTAGATTTGACGTTGAGGTCTTCACAGCAACCATTACCTTTGCTTCTTACAGAGCTAGTCAGGGGTTCAAATCCCCGGGTCTTTATTTCCTCATGTGCCCCTGAATATTCAAAGATACAAATATCAAAGTATAGCTGTGGTCCCCACATAAGACCACAGGAAATACAGGGCAACAAATGGATCTCCCTTTAAACACTGGAGCAGTCTGCATCAAGTTTAAGGAAGAATTCTCTTAAAGACCTCGTATTTCACTGAAATGGCATTCCTTATAAGCCATGATATAACTAAGACTCAATAAACAAGACAAAAGTAACACATACACTCTTTTGGGGAGAACAGGTTCAACCCCACAATATGATGAGCATGCAAAACATCCTACTTTTAATATTTACCTTTTAACACATTGGTCTCTGGTCTCACTAAACAAAATATACAACTAAGTCTGGAATACACATAATACGGGACGAACTAAGAGCGATGTGGCAACTAGTCGCTGTGACTGTCCGGTGTTGTGGGAATACTCACCTGGTCATAGCCATAAGGGCGTTGTTGCTGGCCCTGTGGGGGTCCAGGCTGGGGGGGGCGGTACCCTCCATACTGCTGCCCCTGCCCCTGAGGATAGTTAGGATACTGTCCTGGGGCACTTTGGGAAGGACCTACAACAAACATTGAAAAATCAATTTGACAGAAAATGCGTGAGTCGACAACATTAAGTGTAGTCCCTTAGTTTCTTTTAAATAAGCAGAGTGCTATTCTTAATACCAACTTAAAATGAGATGGACAACAACTGAACCGGCCCAAGTTTTGCTCATTAACTGTTTCCATGTCCTACTTGTTACTCTGAGAACTCTAGGGAATCCCTCAGTATACTATTACTAATGGGCTGCAATAAAAAAGGCTGATGGATGTCAAAGACAGGATGGTGGGTATGTCAGGCCCATTTGTTTAGGCTGCCTCCACGTCTGACTCGGTAATGATTGAAAATGGGTGAGTCAGGTTGGAGCCGGGTGGTGGCTCCCTAATGCCAGAAGACATCAAGGAGATTCTGTTGGTCTTCATTAGAGAAGCGGGCTTCATTAAAAAAAAAAAGGAAGGAAAAATAAAAATCCCTTCATCAGCCCACATACACTGTAGCTATCTATGCAGGTGCCGTGGATGAGCACGCAAAGCCTGACTGTGGCTGAAGTCAAATGAGACCCACGCAGCATCGTTAGGAGCCCATAATGTCTTCTGCTGTAGAGCATAACCTTGTGGGGGCCTGCGAGAGGAAGCATGTGTGTGTGCCAGATGGATCTCACCTCACAGCCTCTGCCTCTCCACCAGCTCATTACTAACAGGAGCTCGGGCTCAGACAGACAGTGACTGATGGAAAGTTCCGGAGAAAAATGGGATGATGAAGGAAAAATACCAAATAGCTGCAAGATAGCTACATTGCAAGTGGAATCCTTTTGTTATTTATGTTGGTTCAATCTGAAGCCCCACACTCCATGTGAATAATCTAAAGTCTAAAGTCAACTCTTACTTAAGACTCCCAGACTTTCACCTATTCATGATTTGTATCCAATCCACTTTATTTCTATAGCACATTTTAAAAACAGAGGGTTTGCCAAAGTGCTTTACAAAGAACATAACATTATAACAACATATACTATTACAAGAATAGATAAAAGGCACACATAAGAATAGATACAAGGCACACATAAAGGCTATGGACAGACAATAAAGCATACAAATAGGTAGAGCATAGCTCAGACTGACTCAAAAGCGAGGGAAAGAGGTGGATCTTTAGGCGGGACTTAAAAGTTTGAAGAGTGGGGGACCATTTGACATGGGGGGGGGGCGGGCGACAATTTCGCATGGGGGTGCAGGTCGTTCCAGAGCCTGGGGGCTACCGCTGAAAAGGCTTGGTCTCCCCTGGTCTTTCTCTTAGTTTTAGGGACTACCAGCTGCAGCTTATCGGCCGACCTCAAAGCCCTTGAGGGGGTGTACACCTGTAGGAGGTCGGAGATGTACTGAGGGGCCAGCCCATTAAGCCATTTAAAAACAAACAATAGAATGTATGTGTTAAGATCTCCATGACTGTCCAATTATTAAGAGTTAAGCCATAAACAGTCAAAGTTACAATCTTCTGTCATATACCTTACACATTTTTTAATATGATTTCTTGTTAATTTTAGGATATGTACTGGTTTCATGTTGCTTTACTTTTTATCCAAAATGCTAGGAGTTCAAAATGTTTGGCTGGCAGTCAACACACACTTTGCCTAATGTCTGTACCCATCAGCCAAAGCTGCTCTCCCACTCCCTCAGAACAGTGTGTCATATCAAACTGAAGCACCAGGAGAAATGCAAATGTGGTGCCAGCCACCACTACTGATTACATTTCTCTTCCACCAAGCTCCAATCCACAACCATTCATTAAGGTGCTTCTTTAATTCCCTGCTTTTGATGATGTCTTGACATGCATTTGGCACTGCTACATGTCCAAGGGGCAGGAACCAGCAACTTACCAAGGAGGAATTAGTATTCAACAGATGAACAAAAAGGTACATAAAGAGTGACGATACTGCCTCCTGCAGGACAGAAATGTGCTCCTATTCCAGAGAAGGCGACTCACCGTAACCCTGCTGCTGTGGGGGGTAGCCCTGCTGCCCTGGGTACTGCTGCTGAGGGGGGTAGCCCTGCTGCTGGGGGGGGCCTTGCTGGTAGGCTTCCTGCTGTTGGCCATACTGGGCATTACCTTCAAGAGGCAACAGCACGCCATGTGAGAAACACGTTTACAACTACAGAGCAACAGCAAAGAAAACAGCCACTCATAAACCAGCCGTGTATTAGTAACATGCGTATTGTTTTTGAAATGGCTGGACTTGAAAGAAAAAACACGTAAAAGGTAAAGGTAAAAAAAAGAAAAGGGCAGTCAGTGTAGAGAAAAAATAAAGGAAGCAATTAAGTAAATGTTAATTGAACAAAGAAAGAGAAGGAGTTGTTGGTTTGAATCTGTAATATGTCACCCCATAAACACTCCAACATGGAGAACATTGGAAGTACATCAAGTGTTGTGTCTGTGTCTGTATTTAGAACATACGGTAGTGTTTGCCTGTTTCTAAAAAACAATTTTTTTATTTTTTTGTATAAGTCACTTGCTCTTCTGCAAATCAGTTTGCAATCTTTATTCAATGACAATCTGAAGAATTAACCTTTTACTTAAAACACAACTTTTGCCATTGAGGCTCACACAAGACTCTGTCCCTGACTTTCCTTTCAAAGCAACAGGTGGAGCAACAGCCACAGTAGGGGGAGACGGAAGACACTGGGTAGTTGCTAACTTATCTAATGACTGCAGCATCTTTTGGAAAGTGCACTCTGGCATGTGGGTGTTTTCTCAAAATTAGAGGCCATATTATTTTTTCTTTGATTGAGCCCAAAGTCACTTTTGATTTCCCAGAAAATAATGAAGAAACTGAAACATTGTCGCAGTCTCTTTGCATCATTTGTGTTTTAACACAACACCTGGGTTTTATTTGGTTGTTGGTTTTCTCCAAATGACTGGAGGGTTCTCCTACCTTCTGAGGCTCCCTGTCCTGCGTGACTGTACTGGTCCCCATAGTAGTCTTCCTGCCCTGGGTACTGCTGAGGGGGTCCTACATACACATACACACAACATACACACAAGTAGATTCAAGGTGTTGTTGGATCGGTCGTGTGAGGGGAAGAGTGGAGAGGATGGATTCCTTGTCGCTAGTTCTTGTTTGAAGGTTTACTTTTGATCCCTTGACTAATTTTATAATTGGACCCTTTGGGTTACATGTTTAGTCATCAAGATGTCTGTGAGCTGCAGAAGTGGAAATTGAGGAAATTGAGAAGAACAAGAGTAAAAAAAGGGAGGGTTAGGGAGAAGAAAGGCCGACACTCACAACTCGCACGCTTCACAGACACACTTTGACGGGTATACCTTGCTGTGGGGGTCTGTAGGGAGGCATTGGCCTCTGCCCCATGACATGGTTCCCTTGATTGACCTGTCCCATCATAGCCATTGGGTTCTGCTGTCCTTGGTAGTGCTGTCCACCGCCACCAGGAGGCATGTTATACTGCTGAGAGGGAGGCTGCTGATGCATCATGGGGCCTATGGAACAACAATAACAGTTAACCCTTAAACTACACAAACGGAAAAAAACATGCAAGCAGTTTATCGCTTCTCACATGCAGTTAAATGATGTGCGAGACGTACCAATAAGAAAGATGATAAAGTAGAAAACAAGGGGAAACAAACAAATTGGGTATTTTACCTTGAGTGGGCTGCATGTTCATGTTTGGCCGGGGCCCGTAGTTACCCATGGGCTGGCCCTGGGTCATGTTCATTTGGCTCTGGGCTGGTATGCCCTGGGATGAAGGGACAGTGTGGTTGTAACCACCCATCGAGCCATGGCCGCTGGGGGGCATATTCATAGAGCCACTGGGTATGTTCGGGGGCTGGTTGGGACCGGGACCTTGCATGGGCATGTGATTGGGCCCTGGAAAACAATGATTCATGACTCTCGACATACATATTTACTGCAATACTTTTGTGTTCATTTCCATAACACTGTTGCTCTGTAAATGACTGTTAGCTGAGGCTCTGTTTTTATATCACAGAAAATGCTTTTTTTAAATAAATAGAAATGACCTTGGAGACATGTTGGAGGTTTGGGGTTCACCAAAGCTGTGAGTAACTGTCATGAATCACCTGCACCTCTGTTTAAACAGTTCATTTGTGTTGGGTTATCTCTTCAGCCGTTCCACTCTTTCAGCAATGTTAAAGCTTGTGACAAAAGTCAACGCTAAATGTAACACCTTATATTAACAAATGAAACAACAACTTCCATTAGACTTTTTCATGGTGCAGGAGCTAAAAAAAGATCATCCCTGTTGTGAGCATTTAATGGAAATCCAGGAAACAGCATGGCACTGAATGACTGAACAGTGAACACACTACCAGTGGAAAACCAACTCTATAGCATTAAGTCCAGTCAAAGAAAAAAAGCTGAAGCTCTTTCTTTACAATTGCAAACATACAAAACAGATGCTGAAACAAAAGGATGATATTTGAGAAAATGGAGGGAAAACCATGATCAAATGAAGGACAAGTCCAAGACCACCAGCACTGGCAAAAAGGTGACATCATCCTTCAGCAGAGCAACCTCCCTCACAGTTCTATGGTGTTGCTAGGCAACCCAAGAGAGACAGGGACTGAGGGAGAAGAAGGGCAAAGAGAGAAGAGAGAAAGACGAGGGAGGGGAGATGAGGGGGGGGGTCACTTACCAGGCATCTGTCCATTCATCTGGTTCTGCATGTGAGGGGCTGTAGGGCCACCGCTGACCATTCCTTCAGAGGGCATATTGTGACCATGAGGAGGCTGAGGGGGGACTCCACTTTGGTTCATCCCACCAGGGCCCATGGGCATGTTTTGAGTGGGCGGCTGCAGGCCGAAAAAAAACACACATCAGCTGACTCAAAACACATCTGAGCCTGATCCGCTGGAAAGAGAAAACTCAAGGAGAAAAGCAGATAAAAGATCTCTGCAACAAAGTATCGTGGAGTTTAACTGATGACTTCAATTAATCAATGATGATTGACTACAAAAAAGCATGTATGTGTATTTTCAAAATATTAAATTAATCTTAGCAAACCCGGATAAGTATATTTTACAAATTGAAGTGCACACAAAACGTCCAAACTGGTGCTTCATTCGTAAATATGATCCGAGATATTTCAATACCAAACATTAATACTTGAGGAGCACTTTAATGCATCTAGCTTTTAAACTCCATTGTATGGGTCAAGCTTAAAAATGTGGAATTCAACTCTTTCCATAACTTTGACATCCCTGGGGTTCTTTTTTCAAACATTGGAAAACTCCACTGAGAAGAACAGAACTCATTATACAACTGTTTTCACAGGCTCTGTAGTACTCATTATGACAAGCAAACTGATATCAAAGTGTTAAACAGATATCTTGTTACAAGAGTCAGACTGGGGGCAAAACAATGAAAATAATCAGGACCATAATACATTTTAAACAGTTTAGTTTTTAAATATGATTTAGTGTGGGACATTATACATTTGGAATGAGTCATGTCAGATGAGCAATACGTGTAACATGACAGCTTCTTAACAAATTTGATTTGATATTTTTGTATTTTACCTGAAACAATTCCTAAAGTTTTTGCTAAAACAAGAGCTCAACATTACCTTGTGATGCAGAGAGGTTATACAGTTGTTCATTCATTCAAAAACAAACAGCAAGGACCAATACTCACAGCAGGGAGGAGAGACTGCATGTTCTGATTGGAGTCTGCTATCGTGGCCAGGTACACTAGATTTCTGTGAAGCATCTGTTGATACCTGGGCAGGGCAGGTGGAGAGTCATCCATATAGGTTATAAGTCAAGGTTAACTTAAAAATACTGCAACAAGCAGGTAAGAAGGGATTTTCATAACTTACTGTGAACATTCTGCTGTTTTGCCTTTACTCTGGAAGTCCATTATACACTGGATAAGCTGGTTGTTTTCGTCTAATAACTGGAATAGCAAATGCAGAGATTCATTAAGGTTACGCGTAATTACACAACATTTACAATGAGTTAGACGGCGTAATTTTGTATTTTAAGCACTCTTATTTCTGGTGGGTTTTCTGCTCTAATTTGAAAAACAATTGGGAGGATGGGGGCGTTTTGTTATATGCGAGTGTGCATTTCTAGCTAACAATAGACGCATCTTGTTAGCTAATGTTAGCTGTCCTTGGCTAACAAAACGACAGGCCCTCATTCAATTCAAGTACATTTACACATTAGTCCAGTAAATCGACCTAAAACCCCTCGTCGACACGTGGCGCACTGACTCCAGAGAGGTTCATATTCACCGCGCTTTGACCCTGCACATTTTTTCCCGATGTATTCACAGTTGGACATGGATGGGCACTGCTACATATATTAGCTCAAAGGCTAGCACCGTCTGATACCATTGCCTCCATCCCGAGACGCGCTAAAAAATATGAATTACCTTTTGTATTCCAGCGGGTGTTATATCACCCTTTCCACGCTGCCTGTGAGGTGCAAACGCCACCGACATGGTGATACTCTAGGAAGTTAGAGGGGAACCAGAGCATAAAATTCAAAAGAAGCTAACACGTTTAACAAATCGGTAGAGCTCAAACAGTTCAGAAAAGGATTCCATTTTGTAATGCAGTGGTCCGTTTTGGGGGGGAGTTGGTCACATTTGAAAACATATTCGATGCTATTTTTTTTGTTCGAGAACAACGATATTAGTTTCGGTTACGATTCAATACAAAAAAATACAATACTTCAACATATTTAATTATGTAGTCAAAAGCATACATATTGTGGCTTAATTGAATTACACGTTCACCTATTTTCCTTATAGTGGAACAGTCTAGATCTAGTCCCAGTGGCCACCGGAAATGGACTGCTCAACAAATAGGGGAACAGTCAGATCATAAATATGTTTCTGACTATTATAAATGCTAGTGCAGGAGGTTTGAGCCAATCATAGCTTGTAAAACTGTTTATTAGGCTTATGATTTTTGTTCACACAATGCATCCTCGTTCCACATTACCTGACGAACCACACATGTAATAAAACATTGCATTTTGTATTACAACTTTCAGATGAAAATATTGTTCCGCAGAGCAAATCAAATAGTGACTATTATTATCAAAGTATATGTACAACTTTCCTTTAGCAAACCCCCACTGTTGGTATCGCCCCAGTTCAGAGGTCGTGCGCATGCCCAGTTTTCAACACACGGCGGGCGGCTTCACAAATTGCTAACTAGCTGAATCATTTGGTGGAAGTCTCCTTGTTTCTCGTGATTGTATTTGTGTTGCAGTGCAATGGCGGCAAGATACGACAGAGCTATTACTGTCTTCTCTCCAGATGGTCATCTCTTCCAAGTGGAGTATGCACAGGAAGCTGTAAAGAAAGGTTCCACAGCTGTAAGTTCGAAAATGAAACAAGTGCTTAAGCTAACGTTAGCACGTCAGTTAGCCATCAAGCTAAGCTAGCGAGTAGCAAGCTCTCTTGTTAGTCTTGTATTTAGTTATCTAATTTTGTTGTTTAACAACATCTCTTTCACTCAGATGTTGTGATTTTTAACAACCGTGTCGGACTGCTCATCTTTAACTTCCTTATGTAACTAACACAATAAGAAATGAGAGTTACTGAAGATGAGAACTAGCCAACATTTTGTCGCTGTGTCACTCTGACAGTAGTTTCAGTTTCATTGTGATAATGAAAAACTAAGAGTATTTCACCGTTTACACAAACATTATTTTATGACTTGGTCCATTAAATACTATTTTGATACTCCAATTGCGTAACGTTAAACAATACAATGTAAGTGAGTTTTGTGTCTGCTTGCTAATTCCCATGTATATGCACTTGGCGGCCTCCTAGTTGCACTAAATTAAACGGAAGGTCTGTTAACCAAGTCTAACTTTAGTCTTTAATACACTGAGTTGCCTATTCATCGTTTAGAGATAACTTGTGCAGTTATTTGTGTAACTGTATAGCTTCTCTAGGAAGTTCTGGAAGAATCAATGTATTATCCAAATGTCTAATACGTCTATTGAATCCTGATTTATTCACGGTTTACCCTTTGACCCCCAGAAGTGTAGCTTGCAGCTTAATAGTGTTATAGAAATCTCCATAATGGAAAGACGATTTTGTTGAAAAGACTCGATATAATACTTGGGCCTCAGTGTAATAATTGTGTGGGATGGGAATCTAAGCCATTAAATACCCTTTTTTTAACTCTAATTCTGAAAGTGGTCACTGTGGTCAAAGAAGGCATCGTGAAGACTGGTTATTTGTTTGACTGTTTGATTTATTTTTCCGCAGGTGGGAATCAGAGGTAAAGACATTGTTGTCCTTGGTGTCGAGAAGAAATCTGTGGCAAAGCTGCAGGAAGAAAGGACTGTCCGTAAGATATGTGCCCTGGACGAGCATGTCTGCATGGCTTTTGCAGGTAACTGAAACAACAAAACCTTGAAAATGTTCAAAACTGAATATTCCTTTCTCATTTAACATGGCACAGTGGACAAATGGACTAATATAAGTTATCATTTCCACTACGTTATTACAGATGTATATACCAGATATTAGGTTTTTGTCTCTGTTGTATTTTGCCTGTATTTTGTACATACAACTAACCTCTTTTAATTTCTTAAAGGTCTGACAGCAGATGCCCGTATCGTGATAAACAGAGCTCGGGTTGAGTGCCAGAGCCACAGGCTAACTGTAGAGGACCCAGTCACAGTGGAATACATCACACGCTACATTGCCACACTGAAACAGGTACCTTACCATCTTCATTTATTGTTTACTATCAGTTTACTAAAAGACAATATTCAGTGGGCGTGATCATAAAATAGCTACAGTTTCAGTTTGTGTGCTCTAAGAATAGTTCAGAAAACTGAAACCATACGCTATTTGATTGTTAAAAAGGTGTGTTAGAATGACCAATCACATCTGTCTTTACATCGGTCATATCTGTAGCGCTACACTCAAAGCAATGGGCGCAGGCCATTTGGGATCTCTGCGTTAATTGTTGGCTTTGACGACGATGGAACCCCCAGGCTGTACCAGACGGATCCTTCAGGAACCTACCATGCCTGGAAGGTCAGTGAGCTTGCTCTTCATTTTGATTTGGGTTCGACTTGTACAACAAGTCAAGTACACGGTTTATATGAAATTCATTTTAAATCTGTTTTTTTACTTGAAAAAAACAGGCAAATGCCATCGGTCGTAGTGCAAAAACTGTAAGGGAGTTCCTGGAGAAGAATTACACAGATGAAGCCATTGCTGGGGACAATGAAACAATCAAGCTGACTATCAAAGCCTTGCTCGAGGTAAGGTTCAAAATTAGTACTGACCTATATTTGAATTAACTCACTTTATCTTCGCCAGGGTAATCCTATTGTAAAGCATTCTAGTAATATTTCCATTTAAATATACTGTATGTAGCTAATGACACCTTTCTTTTAAAGGTGTTTCAAGATGTGAGCATGTTACAAATGATAAGATAATTTCCAAAGTATTTTTATGTACCACTTTACTAATTTAATACTGTCCTGTCTTTGTCAAAGAGTATTACCGTCTGCCAGAATCTAATCCTCCATTCCATAAAACCGCCTTTTTTGCACATTGTTAAATATGTACATTTTATTTTTCCATGATAACTTAAGTGTTATTCAAATATTTTATTTTTAAAGCTAAATGAAACGCTTACCGAGATAGTCACAATAGTTTAGCATTGTCTTTTGTGTTTAACCGTAATATTAACTTGAGTCCAATGCTACCGGAGTTAATGTCTGTCATTTATTTGGATATTTAATTCAACGTATATGTTCGTTACAGGTTGTCCAGTCAGGAGGGAAAAATATTGAACTTGCTATTATCAGACGAAACAAGCCACTCAAGGTGAGCCACCCGCAAATGATAATTGGCTTTTGTATTTTTATAAATCTTTTATTTATTTGCTAATAATGGCTTTTTCTTATAAATTTGCAGATTTTGGAAGCCAAGGAAATTGAGAGCCTGGTGGCTGAGATTGAGAAGGAAAAAGAGGAAGAGGCAGAGAAGAAGAAGCAGAAAGGCAAATCCACTTGAAGCAATCAACTGAGACCTTTTCTTCATTGCACTTGAATGACAATAGAATATTTGGGTTGCAGATATTAGTAAGTTTTAGAGGGTTTACTTCTCTCACTAATTTCATTGTGCAGAGCTAAATCATAACTTGAGATCTGTTCATGTTGTTCAAATGTTTTGCGTGTCATCTGCAAAGAACATCAATTACCCATAATTTCACTTATTGAGTTGACAGATATTTAAAAAGCAAATGCATAGATCTCAAGTTAGGGATTAGTTCTTAAACCACGCTTACAGGATGTTTTATATCATACACCAAACAGCTCCGATGGGATAACTCAAATGTTGAAATAAACCAGTTTGTCACATTCAGAAACATGAAAACGAAATGCTCAATAAAAGCTGACTTGTTTGTAAAATGGTTTAAGTGATTTCAAAATCCAATTTCAAACAGTTTGTTATGCCTCATGGCTTTTCTAGATAGTGTATAAGACTGAATAATATGGTCTTAACTATTGGCGCAGTGACCGCTTTCTTTAAGAGAGAAAAGGGGACTTTAAAAAAAAAAAAAAAAAAGGCAGAAGAATGGGTCCCACCTCTATATTGATTATCCTACTGCAAAGCAAGTACTGCGATAAAGATAACTACAGTTTAAAACACTACTAGCGGCAGTATACCGTGTGGCTGTAAAGTGCAATGGTTTTCATTTATCAGCATTCTGTCACACAGACCTGGAAGACGGGGGAAAAAGGTAGCTCAGATTGCTTTATAAAGTGCTCACCTCTCCCTCAGTCATTTAAAACAAATTAGTGATGAGCGAATGAAGTGTCTAATGGCGGCCCAACGAGACTCCCTTTTTGCCTCTCCTTTTTTATTTCACCCTAAATTCGCTTATCAAGCAACCGCTGCTCTGAATTCTCAACGACACAATTATGGCCGGCGGTGTGGTAGGGCTGCTTAATGGGATCCTGGCCTCAGACCCCAGTGGGAACTTTCAGTGACTTTAATCTGGAGCCCTTTGAAAAGTTGTACCGTGCTGTGCTGAAGAGCCCCAGGGGTTCCCTCTGACTCTCACCAAAGACATAATGGTGAATGGTAAAGTCCTTCATTTAGAGTCATCTCCCCAAGCCAGGATTTCCTGAGTGGGTGCCCTGGATGCCTTGACTAGAGAAATTGCACTTTGTCTGCAATTTGTCTTGTTTGTGAGTCTTATAGGTCGTTGTTTAGGTTGATGTCAGAGCATCAATTAAGCATCTGATATTACTTGTCATTCCTAATGTCATCAAATCCCAGGAGGGCAATTAAAATGGAGTTTGTTTGACTTACAGCCATTTCATCCGTACACTAATTGCACTACTAATGCATTTCAAGTCAGAGTTTTGCTAAGATTACTGTCACAGGCACTGGTTTGATGATGCTCAGGTTGCAGACAAAGAGGTGCTGAATCCACCAGACAAAACAAGCTTAAGGTAAACTTTAATAAAGTTTATTATAGGTAATCCTCTAGCTACAGAGGTTATCTGATCCATCTTGTCAATAGTGCAAGGGCAGCTTATTTTGTGCTGCTGCTAGGACTCCTTCTTTTGAAATGCTTCTGGGAAGAGTTTTCTTTTTCTTTCTTTTTTTTGTTGTCGGCATTGTTGTTGCCCATAATCAGCGCTACTGTGCCTCGGGACAAAGTCCATCTCTCTCATCGCTGGCTGCTGCTCATCATTAATGCAGAAAATAATGGCTTCACCAGAGGTCATCGGCGGAACGAGGCCTGAGGACATGTACTCTCCGAGCAAGAATGCACAGTGCTGCGGGCTGTCGACTGAGTGCATTGTTTGTATGCACACACACACACGGCTTAGAGGCCAATTGCACATACACATGGCAAACACTATTAATGTGAACACACAACAGATTTTTTTTTTAAAAACTGCCCACATCTCCTTTTCTCTTGATCTGTCATGCAATTGCACTCTAGGCAAAGTGTGTTCTTACGTTGTAGTGCGAACATACACGGGGGGAAAACATTCCATGTGTTATATCTGGATTTTAGTGTTTGGATGCATCTAACACCAATAGTCTGACCCTCTTAAAATATCCAATACTCTTCTCTCTAGCTTATTTCCATGTCACAGGCAGATTTCACTTTGAGGATCTATATTTTTTGTCATTCTAATGTGCCACCCTGTGGCCATATTTCACAGTACGCCCCTCCTGGGATGTTTAAAATTTGTCAGTGCAGAATGTCCTTAGGTCCAAATAAGGCAACTGCTTCAAGGGTAAAAGCACACAGACATTTGCATCCCTGTGGAACCGAGGTTACATTAGTCTTCTGTTAAGACTGTCTCACTGCTGCTGCTGAATTACTCTTCTCACCTTCTACCAGCAGAGTGCAGTGTTGCATAAAAGCAGTGTTCCTATCATATCGCTTACACTTTCATCTCACTTTTCGTCCTACAGATTGACAGTATGACTCTTGTAGCTAACAGCGAGCAGAATCAGTGGGCTGCTGACATGTTTTCGTCTCTGTGCTTTACCACACAGCCACAAAGGCTCTCTGAACAATTGAATCCATGGAGGCAGAGTTGTTTTGCTTTAAATTGTCATATGAAAAAGCAACATTGCTTGTGTCCTCGAGCGATGGCCAAGCTGTCAAAGTGTGTTGGGTCATAAAAGGCTACGCTCTCAACACTGTCCCTTTTCTGCTTGTCACATGTCGACAGTTACACACATTGTGTATAGCGGATTGGCCCGCCTTCCCTTTTGCCCTTTAGGGCTCGGCAGCAATATAAAGTAAAGTTTGGGTATATTGGTGTGCTGGCTTACATATCCATAAGCGATCAAACTATGTTCTCTTTTAATGTCCTCTTTTAACTTCTAGCTCCAGGGATACATTTTGAATATCATTCTATTATCTCATATCACACATCTTATCTTCTCTGTCCTTAAATCTGTTTTCCTTTCTCTCTCCCTCTCCCTCATACACATGCACAGCACATTTAGATTTCCAACAGTTATTTTTTTGCCTATTTCTTATCATTACACAGAGCAACATATACCGTTGAGTAACAGATACCACAGACAGCTTTGGTAGTATTTTACCTTTGTGTCCCATGAAAGGTGTTGGGATACTAACAGGTTGTGTGCAGAGACTAAAGGCATGGTCTGGAGTTACCCTTCAAGAGTCACCTGTCAGGGGTTTTGTCTCACAGGAGAATAAAAGTGCATTCTCCTTTAATTGAAAGAAGACACCAATGGGCCAGAAACAGGCAGAACAGGAGAGAATGAGACGAAGAGGCAAAAAGGAGCAGACAGAGCTAAAATAAACAATTCCCAGGATGCTGCAGGCCAAAAGCATATGGCCCCGGGGCCCCATGGCCTCTCAGGGCCGTGGCAGAAGCCAGTCACACACATCACATAGCATTACACGGGATGGGGTTACAGGAAAATGTCAGCCGACGCATAAGGAGGAACCATCAGCCCATAGGATAATTCGATTGCCTGAGGGAGGTGCAATCTTGCATTCCCACGATTCCTCTCTTTCCACCCACACCCTCTTTCATTGTATTTCAGAATCCATTTTTCTTTCTCATTTATTTAATGTTTTCAATTGTGTTGTTTGCTCTGGTAGCCATGTATGTTTACCAATGTACTGTATCATTATAAAAGGAGGTAACTTGCAATTGGTTCGCTACAGTAAGATGTCTGTGCAGCGTCCAATTCTATCCTCATGGGAATGTTCTGGGCCATTGGGTTGTAGCGTGGTCTCTGATATCTTGATTTACAACCTGATCTTTGTCAGAAAATCTCCTCCCACTCGCCCTCCACTCAGTGTTTGTGGTTACATGTTGTGTCACTGGTCACGGAGCGAATCATGTCCATCACACTCGTCTAGCCTCTTTGGAAGATCAAGAGGCAATATGGAAATGTAGAAATCATGTAGTGTGTTTTCAAATGTGCTGTTTTACATTACCCCTGTTATACGAATGGTGCCCTACCTTGTCATTTTATGCTATACTTAGAGGACACAGTATTGTTGTGTTAGCGCATGGAAATACAGCTGCATATATGCATGTGCATTAGATAAAGACGGAGAGAAGGATGGAGAGAGCAAAAGAAAAGAGACAGCGAGAGTTCAGCGCAGATATGTGAGTGCGTCTGACAGAGAGGACAGCCCTAAAGGCAGGTCCCAGCCCTTCAGCACCGAAAATGACACATGACTGCTTTGACTTTTGTCATCCCCTGTCTCCCTCCGCCCCCAAACCCAAGCCTCCAACAAACACTGAGGCTAGCATAGACACACACACACACACACACACACACACACACACACACACACACACACTCAAAGACACAGTCACACACTGTATACTGCTTAGATTACATTATCTTTATCCCCAGGACATGAGCCCTCCTTGTTGGATGACATTTGGGCTTGTGCAGCACTAAGGTTACCTTTCTTTGCCCCTGAGTTAAAGATGCCTGTCTGCAGCATGCATTTGAAATGAAGGACAGGAAAAAAATCAGATGAGAAAGATTTCCAAAAGCACTTTGATCAGAGGCATCAACAGTCACGCACAAACTTGTTAAGCAGTATGTAAATTTGGGCTGATACTGAATAAAGTTGCCAGAATGGCATGAATCCATTGTGCTGCGATGATCAAAATAAAAGAGGGCTTCATATGCTCCAGGGCAAGAAAGTCACAGACATGAAGGTTTTTTTCCTTCCTCTTTTTTTTCTACAAAGGGGCTGATGGGATGCAGAGAGGAGAGAAGGAGGGGAGCGAAATGAAAGATATGGGAAAGCCTGGAAGGATCTCAATCTAAATTAGCCGAGTAGAAGGAAGACAGTGCTGAGTGAGACATATAATTAAAACCAAAGTGATGAAAACATCAGTACTCATTCAGTCACTCGCCAGATGAATTTCTAAAATTGCTTCCACCATGATCAGAAGATGTTTCAAAGCTGAAGGTGAATCTAGCCTATTGTCAAAGCACACCAACCTCCCATTTACTCTTTCTCTCACATCTCTCTCATCCACCTCCTCTCTGTTTCTTTATCCCTCCCTCGTTCCCTCTTTTTCTCTCCGTCTGACACCCTGAGATGAATAGATGCTGTCACTGAGACTCTTGTAGCCTGTCAGCTTTTAAACAAACAGTTTGCAAAAGGATCACTTTCACAGGAAACCTCCCAGTCTGAGGTGAAGATATCAGCGTGTCCTCTACACACAATAACCTACCCTATGATTGAAGAAAGAAAACATGACCTCACACAGTCCAACACCTCATGCTACAGAACATTCAAACGAAGTAATACTTTGAATAATTGTACTAAGATTGTTTTAGTAGCATGCTAGCGCTGTCCTGCATCTGTCCTCCATGCTGAAGATGTTATTTACTCTTGCAGCCTGCGTCTGTAACCAAATGT